CTTGGAGAAGAAATACAAAACTGAGGATGTCGGGGCAAAGAAATTCGTCATCGGCAAATTTCAAGAATTCAAGATGGTCGACACTAAGATCGTCTTGTCTCAAGTGCAAGAGTTCCAACTCATCTTGCACGATATTCATGCTGAAGGAATGTCTCTGAGCGAGTCATTCCAAGTTACATTTGTGATCGAGAAACTGCTGCCGGGTTAGAAAGACTTCAAGAACTACCTCAAGCATAAGAGGAAGGAAATGAGTCTTGAAGACCTGGTTGTTCGTCTTCGGATTGAAGAGGACAATCGGAAGTCTTCGGGGAAGGCCCCGATGATAGAAGCACGTGCAAACTTGCTGGAGCAAGGGAACTCGAGCAAAAGGAAGCCCTTTAACAAAGGGAATGAGCAACCAGCCAAAGTTTGGAAATTTACCGGCAATTGCCACAACTGTGGAAAGCCGAACCATATGGCTAAGGACTGAAAGAAGCCTAAAAAGGCTGGACTAAAAAAGGCACAACATAGTGCCCTCGTTGCTGAACACGACCCTGTGTCGAGTGAACTAACCGACATGGATATGTCGGCTGTGGTGTTTGAAGCCAATTTGGTGGATAACCCAAGGGCGTGGTACATTGATACTAGTGTCACTCGCCATGTATGTTCTGACAAGGAGTTGTTTTCTGACTACACTTCTTCTACTGGTCGGAAGCTCCACATGGGCAACTCCTCCTCGTCTGATGTGGCTGGAGTTGGCACCGTGGTGCTGAAGCTGACTTTTGGAAAGGAGTTGAAGCTTAAGGATGTTCTGCATGTCCCATACATCCGCAAGAATTTGGTCTCCAGATCTTTTCTTATAGAGCATAGATTTAAGTTAGTGTTTGATGCTAAGAAGTTTATTCTTAGCAAATTTGGTACCTTCCTTGGTCGTGGCTATCTCGACAAGGGATTATTTAAAATGAATGTAATGGCTCTGAGTCGTGTAACCGTTTCTGCTAATAATAAAAATTCATACTTCTGTTTATATCGTTGAGTGCTCTGATTTATGGCATATTATATTAGACATATAAATCTAAATGCTATTAAACGATTGATAAACTTAGAATTAATTCCTAATTCTAAAATTGAATCACACAAAAATGTGAAATTTGTGTTAAAGCCAAAATGGCTAAATTACCTTTTTACTCGGTGGAAAGAAATACTGAACCGTTTGGTTTAATTCATAGTGATGTATGTGACTTAAAAATTGTGTAAACAAGAACGAGGAAAAAATATTTTATAACTTTTATTGATGATTGCACAAGGTTTTGCTACTTATATCTTTAAAGAAGAAAAGACGAGGCTGTGAAAGCTTTTAAATATTTTAAGACCGAAGTTGAAAATCAACTCGGCAAAAAGATTAAAATAATCCGAAGTGATAGGGGTGGAGAGTATGTAGCTCCTTTTGAACAAATATGTTCTGAATATGGCATAATTCATCAAACGACGACCCCCTATTCTATACAGTCGAACGGTGTTGCTACGCAAGAACCAAACTTTAAAAGAAATGATGAATGCCATGTTGATAAATTCAAAATTACCCCAGAGTATGTGGGGGAGAAGCTGTTTTAACAGCAAATCATATTCTGAATAAAATACCACGTAAAAGGAAAAATAAGACTCCTTACGAAATGTGGAAAAATCGTAAGCCGTCTTATAAATACCTGAAAGTGTGGGGGTATTTGGCTAAGGTTTCAGTTCCTGAACCAAAACAAATGAGAATTGAACCTAAGACGGTCGATTGTATTTTTATTGGATATGCATACAATAGTATTGCATATAAATTTCTGGTTCATAAATCAGAAAATCTAGAGGTATCGGTTGGTACCACTATTGAGTCGAGAAATGCCATATTCTTCGAGAATATTTTTTCTCTAAAGGAAAGGACAAAATCTAGTTCTTGCAAAATTACGTATGAAACTTCTAGCGGTTCTGTACTAGATGGTACTAAAGAAGAAGAACCGAGACATGGTAAAAGAGTAAAAACGGCAAAAATGTTTGGACCTAATTTTATTACGTATATGTTGGACGATGAACCGAGTTCCATTAAGGAAGCTCTGTCTAGCCCAGATGGACCACTCTGGGAAAAAGCTATAAATAGCGAAATCGAGTCCATTATACAAAATTATACTTGGGAGTTGGTTGATCTCCCTGTGGGTTGTAAATCTTTAGGATGCAAGTGGATCCTAAAAAGAAAATACAAAGCTGATGGAACGATTGATAAGTTTAAAGCAAGATAAGCGGTCAAAGGCTTTAAACAAAAAGAAGGGTATGACTTCTTTGATAACTATTCACCTGTTACGCGTATAGCGTCTATTAGAGTGCTTCTCTCGATTACTGCTTTGCATAATCTTGAGATTCATCAAATGGATGTCAAAACGACATTCTTGAATGGTGAATTAGAATAAGAGATTTACATGGAACAACTCAAAGGTTTTGTCGCACCAGGACAAGAGAAAAAGGTGTGCAAATTGATCAAATCCTTGTACGGACTTAAACAAGCTCCGAAACAACGACATTTGAAATTTGATAACGTGATGTTGTCAAATGGATTCAAAATCAACGAATGTGAAAAATGTGTTTATGTTAAGAACACATCAAATACATTTGTAATTGTATGTCTATATATGGACGATATGTTGATCATGGAGAGTAGCCATGACGTGATCATGGATACGAAACGAATGTTGAAAAGAAATTTCGACATGAAAGATATGGGTGTAGCTGATGTAATTCTTGGAATAAGAATTATCAGAACCAAAGATGGAATTGTCTTGTCAGAATCTCATTACGTAGAGAAAGTGCTCAAGAAATTTAATGCCTATGAAGGTCCTCTGTCTAGGACACCCCTTGATCTTAGCTTAAATCTGGAAGCCAATAAAGGTCAACCAGTTGCTCTATTGGAATATTCACGGATAATAGAGAGTTTAATGTACTTGACGAACTGTACACGACCAGACTTGGCCTATCCGGTGAATAAGTTGAGTAGATTTATGAGCAATCCCAGTCATGAGAACTGGAATGCTTTGAAAAGGGTATTGAAGTACTTAAAGTATACCCTTGAATACGGGCTAAAATACTAAAGATATCCAGCAGTACTTGAAGGGTACTGTGATGCAAGCTGGATATCGGATTCGAGAGATTCTCATTCCACAAGCGGATATGTTTTCTAAATCGGAGGAGTTGTTGTTTCATGAAAGACCACAAAACAAACTTGTATAGGTTGGTCAACCATGGAGTCGGAGTTCATCGCTTTAGATAAAGCTGGTGAAGAAGCTGAGTGGCTTCGAAACTTTTAATCCGATATTCTATGTTGGAATAAACCTTTGCCGCCTGTGATGATTCACTGTGATATCCAAGCCACTATAGGAAGGGTACAAAGTAACATGTACAATGGTAAGTCTAGACATATTTGTCATAGACATAATATCGTTCGCCAGTTGATCACAAATGGTATTATTTCCATTGACTACGTAAAGTCTAAGGAAAATTTGGTTGATCCTTTTACTAAAGGATTGAATAGAGGTCAATTGGAAATACTGCTAGAGGGAATGGGATTAAAAATCCACAATGAAAAGAATGATCATAGTGGGAACCCTACCTTGCTGAATGGAGATCCCATAAACTTGGTTCAAGGGGAAAACTAAACTATGAAAATTCAGCTGAGCACTTGAAACATTAGAATGTCCAAATTTATTCCTAAAAGCAATCCAAGTGCAAGATTACCTGTTGATTGTGGTGAGGGTTGTTGGTGTTATATACTTAAGCTTTGCTTTAGTGGATATTACACTTGTTATTCCTTGATGAATGAGAATTATGTTTGGTTAAATAAGTTTTACGTTCTGTTGTTTTGCAT